CAGGTTGGAAGAAGAGCAGGCCAAGTGCATGCATTTTGCAGCCAGCAACAAGCTTCCCTTGGGTAGCCAGCAGGTGCAGTGGCCCAGGTTGCAAAATGGCTTTTTCAAGTGCAAGGCCCTTTAAAAGATTTTTTTTAACCTTCCTTTATTGTCTGTTTGTAAGATACATACTCTTTCTCTTGAAGCACGAAAAGGGTAAAACTTCCCCTTGCCCCCAATCCCGGCATCCTGGAAGACTCACTCCTCTGCCTCCTCTAACAGATTCCCCCAGCTGAGCCAAATTCTTTCTAGAATCAAGACAGAGAATCACACAGAAAGGAAGAGTCTTCTAAAAAGAGGCATCTGGCCTTTGATTCGGTACTCAACACGTGAGTAATTTTGCTCAGTGGACTCCAGTAACTGTGTCTATTTAAAGGCAGATAGGTAGAGCTCCCTGTGCCCTGTGGATGTTCATCTGCAATGAGGGCGCAGACCCACAAAGCCTGGTAACATAGGATAGGCCTTTTCACTCCTTAGGTTTGCTGGATGTTAGTGAATCCTCTTGAATTAAAGTGTATCCCCATTTTGCTGTATTCCTATTTGTCCAACACAACAAAAAGTATTAGCAGTGCTTTTTAGCATGCCAATAAGAATGAGAAATGCAAACAAAATACCACTCTATAAAAGCAATCTTGGTTTCTTCATTTATATAATTGGAGAATTCCCACCTCTACCTTTTATTACAAAGATCAGGTGACATAATGGAAGTGTTGATGTGGTAAAACTTCCACAGAGCTATATGAAAGTAAGAAATGGGGGCCAGCATAGTGGCCTAGTGGCTAAAGTCCTCACCTTGCACACAGTGGGATCTCATATGGGTGCCAGTTCTAATCCTGGCAGCCCCGCTTCCCATCCAGCTCCCTGCTTGTGGTTTGGGAAAGCAGTCGAGGATGGCCCAAGGAGGAAGTTCCTGGCTCCTGGCTTTGGGTCAGCACAGCTCTGGCTGTTGCAGTCACTTGGGGAGTGAATCAGCAGATGAAAGATCTTCCTCTCTGTCTCTCCCCCTCTCTGTATATCTTGGGACGAGGTGACTGAGTGGTTAAGGCGATGGACTGCTAATCCCTTTCTGTATATCTGACTTTCCAATAAAAATAAATAAATCTTAAAAAAAAAAAAGAAAGGAAGTAAGAAATGATTGAAGAGAGTGAAAATTAAAGCACATTTTCCCTTGAAATCTTTTGAATACTCCTTGAACACCTGCTAAAGGAGACCTGGATTGAACCAAGGGGGTATTTGTCCCTACAGATAAAATCCTACTATGGGTCGTATCTGGGAGTCTGCTTTTATGGCTAGTCCCAGTTCACTGATCTGCTGGGCTTTCAGCAGGTGTAGCTAGAACCCCTTTACTTTCTAGGTAATGTTATTAACCACTTTAGCTTTGAAGAGATGGTATGCAGGTGTAGCACCTGGGTGCATGGGCTTTGGCGTCTTTAGCACCATGTTGACCCAGTGTCAGTTTTTACAACTATTATAGATATGAGCACATTCTGTAACCTTACTAGACCTCCTGGCTGAGGATACAGAGGGCTGGACACGTTTGACTGTTTAGTTGATTTAACTTGAAAATTGTCAAGCCACCAGCAGGGCCTTTGTTCTACCTATCTACCTTTCTGTCATCTGCTTATTTCACCACAAAAAGCTATCTTTCTTGCTTCTTGCTCTATTAGGATGATGACATGCACTATAGATAAAGAAGAAACATAAAGGAGTAGCGAATGAGCCTAACACTCCAAGATGGCAAGGTAATTATTGTGGTGAATCAATGAAAACATGTTAGTAGGTGAACTCAGATGAGCTATTAAAGGGATCCTCTAGGTGGGAATTTACTTTTGGCTGATATTAAGCTGGATTTCTATTTACTTCCTCCTTTTCCTTTAAGAACAAGTGGCGGAGGACATTTGGGCGGACCAGTTGCAACATGCTGACTCATCGAGGGTGTTGGTGTTCAGAAAAAGTGCTGTTATATCAAGGACATCACAGAGAACAATGGCCAAGATGGGCTCCAGATGTCTGTGATTCCAGAGAATCAGTCTTGTTGCTGTTCCTACACTCCCTCCTTCCCCAGCGAAGTTAACTGGCACTGGTAGCCTGACAGAGCCTCAAAAGTTTTCTGCGTATGTTGACACCTTAGCGGTAGAGTTCCCCCTGTTTTGACTGCGTGCAGAGCACTGAGGCACGAGGTACTTTAAATGGACTTAAGGCGGTACTCACTCTTCCAAGTTGGTGAAAAGTTTCAAATGGCCCCTTGTGTTCAAGAGAAAGGCTTCTAAAAGGTATTCATTTACAACTTTCATTTTAGTTTTACATAACACTAAAAAGACTGTTTTCTTTCTACACTCTGATCGGAAATTGTTTTGTTTTCCCAGATAGCATGTTTCATGATCTCTTCCACAGCCTACATTGCATAGATTGATCTTGGTGGTTTTATATGAAATATTATTGAATGACTCTGTATGTGAACAATGAACGATAGTTTCATAAACAACCTTTAGGAGGCAGACATAGCTTCAGCTTAGCACTATAAAAACATGTCATTAGACAATAGCCTGTAGAAGGTACTAAGAAAATACAAAGGAGTAAAACAAATACATAACATGTGGTATGTAATTAATGATAAATGAGAGGGGAAAAAATACACAACTTAAAAGGGTTTGTGTGGGACTGTGTGGTGTCTAGATAGGAGGGAAAGGCATTGGGGTGGTGGGGAAGGCAGAATTTCTAGACTACAGATCCAGCCCTGCATGTGTCTTGTGCTGAATGGAGCTGCAGAAGCTACGAGATAGAACAGGTGGCTGCCACAGGCTGCTAAATTTAGATACACCTCTGTATTAAAGTCGACCAGGAACCACCACTTTTTCTTTTAATAATTTTTCCATGGGTTTGCTTCCAGAGTAAGTCAGCTAGCTGCCTCAACTGAACTTGCGTCTAAGAAAACTTAAACTTTCTAATCTTCAAATGTGGAATGCCATTTTGTGTTTCCCAAAATTGGAACAATAGAATGATTTCCCCAGCTCATCCTATGTCAGGTACTAGAAGCACTTGCTTTGGTTTTACAAATGGAAGCACGACTACAAAGGTCCAGGACCTGCCCAGGTTGGAGGAACAGTGTTTCCAGGAAAGACATTTTGGTGGAAAAGCGGTGGAACGAAAGCATGTTGCTGTATGGGAAGCACTATTGTTAATCCTTTGTACACAAGTTAAAATCTAGGACATATAAAATTAAATGTCATAAGGAAAATATGATAAGCAAGCATCACAATCATTAGGTAGCCCTTATTATACAGTATAAGTGGCTCTGCGACATCGTAATGACAGTACACCTTGGAAGCCACAAGTGACAGGTGCTAAAGCAAATAGTTGAGGTATTTGTGTGTGTTGAAAAGTGTTTCGTCCTGTTATGCTCTTCCTCACTTACTAGCTTTCTTTCCCAGGTTATGAAAAACTAATGAATGATATTTCCCTTTGATGTTAGGGACATTTGAATGAGATTAAACTCTCTTGGTAGTCGATGCATTATTTGCTTGTTTAAAAAGCAAAGGCTGATTATTTGTACTTCTTCAGTCATTGTCCTTGTTTCAGAATATTTGAAAACTTCAAAAATGAAGACTTAAACTGAGAAAATCAATGTTAATGTTTTGCAGTTTTGTCTTTTAATTTTCTAGTGCCTTTTCCCCTCTCTCTCTCCTTCAACACACACACACATTTAAAGGAACACAATTGAAATCATACCATTTATAGTCTTATTTCTGCTTTTTCCACTTAACATACCATATGCATTTTTCCGTGTCATTAAAAACGTTTTGAATATGTTCTTGGCCACATAAAATTCCATCCTATTGATGCACCTGTTTTCTTTTAAGCAAAGACACATGCCATGTTTTCCAGTCATGCTGGACTCTTAAAAAGCCAAAGAAAATACTCTGTGTCGATCCACCAACAAACCTCTTAGGAATTTCTATTTTTTTAATTCCATTTATAAAATGCACCCATGGTGCAAAACCTCCTGTGGACATAACAGTTAATAAACACTCAAGAAGACACCAGTCGGCTTCTGTCCCCTTGACGGGGACAAATGTTAGTCACCCACATCATCATACCACGTATACCAAGTGTCCACAAGTGTCCCAAATGGCTTTTCCATTTTGTGACAGCCACAAGTGAACCTCAAGGCCTTCGGCCTCCGCCTCAAAACACTTGCAATTATAGTAGCACACTTTTTGACTTCCAACTTTAAACTTAGAAATACTACCAACTTTTTCTTTTTTAATAAAAAAGGCAAATTTCAAGCTGACACTTAAGTTTGGTGAATTAGAATAATTTTTCATTACAGTATCTGGGTCTGTGTACCTAGAACTGTTGATGCTTCAAGACCATCTACGGGGAGCTTTCATTCCGACTTCCTTAGCCATACTAGACGCAATGCCTCTGCGACACACACACACCACACACACATGAATAAATCTTGTAGTCCTCAGGAGGGCACTGTGGAACCGTGTTCCTAGGCTGCCTGCCCTGAGAAGCTTCTTCTTTTGTTACTCAAATTCCGTGAGGAGTGCCAGGCCAGGCCTCTGCAAAGACATTCATATTTCCACTTGCTTTTAACTGAAGGAGACTCAGAAAAATTTTAAATGTGAAACTGGTATGTCTGTTCTGGTACCTATTTTCACATTAATGAAACAGCAAAGTGAAGGGGCAACTGACTGACTTCTACCCAGAAATCCAATCGGGTAAGGTCACTGCTCCTGGGTAGTTTCAAGTACATTTGTAAGAAGAAGGCTGGACCAACTGTTAAATTTTATAATTCCCAGTGCTCAAAACCTTTCCCCTTCCAGCGTTTGCTTATCGTCTTTTCACCTGCTGAGGTCGGCTGGCATTTTCAAGTGCCGTCTTCACACCCTTCCTGCCTGTGTGCTCCACGATCTGTAACGTGCTTTTCCAGGACAAAAACAATGATACTGTTGTTCAGATAAAATATTATAGGTTTATTTAAAACTTAATTCTCACCTTGAGTATGCAAAATACAAACTCCACAAAATGTTCATTTTTAACTTTGTAGTTTACAAATATACAAAATAGAAGTTTGCTTAAATTTATATTACATATTTATTAAGGCAAGGAACTATATAGAAAAAAAAAACACATTTGTTCTGCTTAAGGCATCCTTGGGAATAAACCATTGTACAAATTATTGCACATCTGAAACCACAGTGCATAACAGACTGTCTGCATCAAAATGTTAAAAGTAAACCAGGTCTATTTACCTGACTTAGGTCATAAACGTAGATCGGAAGACAAAAACTAGATTTTCCTTGTCAAAGATATGCAGCAGTTCGAGAACTTTGGCTTCCTCATTTGGTACCTTTACAACCAAGACTTACCAAGCACCATCATTTAGGCTATTGACACACATTTTTTTTTTTTGTACCTGAATTTCCTCCTCTTCTAACGTGGTCATAATGGCTTTTAGAAGGCAAACAGAATACAAGGCGATCTTTATACTTATATTGCATCAAAACACAATTCAAGGGAATTCTGGTCTTCCCTCCCCCGCCCCCCCAACTCATGGATCTAATTTATACCCTGATATCCACAACTTCCAGTGACCCCCCCTTGGCATTTCTTGTTTAAGTCCAGGAATATTCAAGTTGGATTTGAGAATTGGAATGATAGAAGATCCAGTCACAGACCCCAAATGTTCTTTTGATTCGTGTCTTTCGGATTCCTCCTTTCTCCTGATTATGGGTTCACAAATTGACTCACTGGCAACTCCACCATGACTGTAGTGCTTTCCGGCTGTGCTCCCGCCTCCTCGGGGAGACAGTGTGAAAGGCGAAAAATACTGAACTCTCTTCTGGCAGTGTGGGTTCTGTCCACTGTCTGGAATTTTAAAAGTGCCTCTTCATATGTAAGGCGAGGTGGTCCGACCTGGAGAAGGCCCGGTCGCACTTCTGGCACTGGAATGGGCGATGCCCAGTGTGTTTGCGGTAGTGCCTGGTCAGTTCATCGGAGCGGGCAAACTTCCACCCACAGCCATCCCAGTCACAGTGGTACGGTTTCTCACCTGCAAAAGGAAAAGGGGACAGCGCTGTGGTGACTCGGGCCCTTTCAGGAACTGGAGGCCCCACAGAGGACCTCATCCCTACCTGCCCTCCCTTCGGAGTGACCAGGGACATCCTTAGGCCACCGAAGGGTCATAGGCAAGGAAGCGTATGGTCATCCCCTGAACTCCATCCCTGCAAGGCTGGTGCCTTTTTTTTTTTTTTGAGCCAAGTCAGTGGTGGGAATAATTTCAAATAAACCAAACTCAGCAGTAACATCTTCTTACTCTATAATCCACATCTGCCTCTAAAAGGCCAGAGATGGCTGTTTTTTTTTCTGTTCCTTTTTGTAAACGTTCCACAACTTTATGCATCAACTTGCACAGAATGTCTCTGCAATGACGATCTTACACGAGGAGCTCTCAGCAATTATAATCATTGAGGTCTTGGAATAGAAATTAATTATTCAATGCTGAGCAAGAGTAGGACTAAAAATAAGCGAGGGAGTGAATTCGCAGAGGGAGCAAGCAGCAAAAACAGCTTGTGAGATTGAAAAACCTAATTTAAAAGAAGCCGTCGAGCCGCTGCACTGCAAAGTGTAATTTCTTGATTACAAGGGCAAGCCTTTGTCGGAGCAGAAAGAGGCCCACAGGCTGCTGGGATCTCCCTGCCTTCCAAAGGCCCTAGCAAAATTGCACATTCAAGCACAGATACCATCCCTCATGCCAGAGGCTCCTGGGCAGAGGCAGGCGCCCCGTCTCCTGTGCCCTCTGTGGGACCTAGGAGATGGCAGAGACAGATGCACTGCGCCAGGGTCCCAAAGAGGGCACACAGTGAGCTCCTGGAGCTGGCTGGGAGGCACTTAACATTTCAAGGAAACTCTGCCCCCGCTGCCTCTCCCGCACCCCCCTACCTGTGTGGGTTCGCAGGTGCGCCTTGAGATGAGAACTCTTTGTGTAGGTTTTGCCGCAACCCGCGTAATCACAGGTGTGGGTGGCCGTCCTTTTCCGTGGCCACGACCTCCTTCCCCGCTTGGGCTTGGGCTCCTCCGGCAAACAGGAACCAGGTGGCATGAGCTCTAGGGGTGAAGAAGGTGGGGTCAACACCATGCCAGGTACCCTGCCCCCCGAGGGCCAGCACGGCCTCACGTGGGGTTCCCCAGCCCCAGCTCCACGTGCCCCACACTCACCTTGGTAATGGAGTGGCGGGACCTGCGGCTGCATCTGGTCGGGCAGGAAGGGTGGGTAGTTGGGCCCAGTGTGGGGATGGAAGCCCGGGGGAAGCGACAAGGCAGGGTGACAGTCCCTGGCGTTCAGCAGTTCCTCGGGACCCAGGGTCGGGGTAGTCCTGCTGGGGAGCTGCCGCCCCAAGGGGAAGTCGTGTGCAGTGGGCCGGTGGCCGTTGCTCAGAGGGGGTCCAGCGCCCAAGTGGGCCTCTAGTGGCCGGCCGACGGTGCACGAAGAAACGGCCTCCTGCTTGATCTTGGGGCACATGCGTGGGGGTCCGCCGCTGTAGGGCGTCACCACCACCGGGTGGCTACCGTCAGGGCTGCCTTTGCTAACACTGATGACCGACGGGCTGCCGTACTCGCTGCCGGGGGCGCTCAGCGACGCCTTCAACACAAACTTGCCCATCAGCCCGCCACCTGGCGGCTGCGGTTGCTGCGGCGGGATGTACACGGGGTCCAATTCGGGCCGCAGGAGCTCGGCCACGAAGCCGCCCGTAGGGCTCACGTCGTTGATGTCCGCCAGGTTGAAGGGAGCCGTGGGAGGAGGCGCGGACTCCCGGCCATAGAGCAGGCCACCGCCTGCGCCGCCCTGCGCCACGCCCGGGTCGCCCCCAGCCCGGATGGGGTAGCTGAAGCTGCAGGTGGAGGGCGCGCTGGCAGGGCCGCTGCTCGACGGGGAAGACGAGGATGAGGCAGACGCCGAGGAGGACACGGTGGCTGCCACAGACTCCTGGTGGGACAGCGAGTTGGAGAGAATAAAGTCTAGGTCCAGGAGATCATTGAACTCCTCGGTCTCCCTCCGGGGTAGGAGCGCCGGGTTGCTGCCGCCGCAAGTCGTTCCGGCTCCGCCGCTCTCCAGGTCTGTGGCCACAGTCGCCGCCGCCAGATCGTAGGGGCGGCCGGGAAGCACCGGGGGAAGTCGCTTCATGTGGGAGAGCTCCTCCCGCCAGCGCTGCGGGGACAGGGAAGAGAGAGGTCGTCAGTGGTGGTGCCCCGGCGTCACCCGAGGTACTGACACCGGGACCCGGCAGGCAGGGGACCCCAACACCCTGACGCTGCAACCTCAGCCGACATCTGGGTGGGAGGAGACGCACCGAGTCTGTACTGAGGGTGCTTCTGTGGTGTCCGTCCCACGGAGGGTGAGCGAGCGCCGTGGCCGGCCCGATCCCCGGGATTCTTCCACCACCCACGGAATTGGGACACGGAGGCTCTGCCCAGGCGCCCTAGCCACGGGGCCGCCTACGTGCCAGGCTCCTTTGGGTTCGGCCGGCGTCTAGGGACACTGCCACCTCACGTTCGGGCGGCCCGCGCGTGCCCACCCCACCGCCTGCGCGCCTCGGGACGTGTGAGGACCCGCCGTGCGCCCCTGGCGGCTCCGCAGTGCCGGGACCACACGCACAGACACCCCAGCCAAGGCGCAGAAAGCGTCCCGGGACAACGGCTGTGGGGTCGGCGAGGCGGCCACTCCTTCCCCTCGCTCCGTGGCTCTTTGGTGAGTCCGGGGCTCTGCCCGCACCCCTTCTTCCCGCACCCAAAGATGCCCAGTGGGCACCACGGGGCGGCCAGCAGCGACACTCACGTTATTCGGGGCACCTGCTGGACGCAGTGTCTTCTCCCTTCCCGCTGGGCCGGACGCGAACGTGGAGAAGGACGGGAGTAGGGCGTCACTGACAGCCATGTCAGACTCGCCAGGTGGCTGCCTGCGGGCCGGGCGGGGCGCACAGGGAGGCAGGAGTCAGGGGCCACTCTGGGCCGCCGCTCCGGCGCGTCCCTCCCGACCTCGCGCCTCCCTGCCCGCAACGTCCCGCGCCTCACCTACCTCATTAATGTGGGGGCCCAGACGGTCCTTGGGAGCCCGAAGCAGCGAGGGTACCCGAACCCCAAAGCCGGCGAAGAGGGGTGAGAAATAAAACCTTAAAAAACGAAGCCAAAAAAAAAAAAAACCCAAAAAAACCCGAATTGCCCGAGATGCTTCTTCTTCCGATTAAATATAAATTGAAGACGTCTCTTTTTTTATTTTAAAAAAAAGTTCCTTTGTATACAAAAGTTCTTAGAAAAAGTTGTAAACTCTTATAAAAATAGACAATCAGCAAGGCGAGTAAGTAGGTCCGGTGGCCAGGCTGCCCTCTCTTGGACTCAGCAGCGTCCCCCACCGCTGTCGCGGTGGCTGCGGCTGTCGCCGTGGGCGCAGGGGCCGTGGCCGGAGAGGTGGGCGGGTGGCGCCGCCAGGTGAGAATGGCCGCGGTGGCGCGGAGCTGCGGACTGGGCGGCGGCGCTGGGCGCGGAGTCCTGGGGGCTGCGCGGGGCGCGCGCGGCCATGGGCGCGGGCCACGGGCGGGTGGGTGGCTGGGGGGCCGGAGGGGCGGGGAGGGGCGACTCGGCGGCTCCCGATGCCGCCGCCCGCCCGCCACCGCCTCTGCTCCCCGCGCGCCCGCAGCCGCGCTCGCTCTCTCGGGCCGGGGGAACTGCCGGCGCCCGCCGCGCGCTTCTGACTTATAACTTCTCGGCTGCCGCCTTCCCTGCCTCCTCCCCGCGGGCGCGCAGGGGTTCCGTCGGCAGGCCCCGCCCCTCCCTTTCTTCTGCCCGCCCCCCCTCCGCGCGTTGCCATAGCAGCTAAATAAACAAACTGGGCGCACGTGGGGGCGGGGGCGAGGGAGGGGCGCGGGCGGGGCCGGGCCGGGCCGTGACGCCAGCCGGGCAGCTGGCGGGCTGGAGCCGCGCTGACGCCGGCGGCGGCGGCGGCGTCGACCGGGCGCGCGGGGCCGCGGGGAGCTGGGCGCAGGTCCGGCCGTCGCGTCGCCATGATCGGCGGCCTGGGTTCGAAGCGCGCGAGCCGGAAGGCTGGTGGCGGGCCGAGGGGCAAGGGGGCGCGCGCCCACCCCTGGCCCGATGGGCGCTCGCCGCGCTGTCTGCGCGCTCCAGAAGAGCGCGATTATCCGCGTGACTCATCCAGCCCTCCCTTCCTGGATCACCTCTCTCTCTCTCTCTCTCTCTCTCTCTCTCTCTCCCCTCCGCACGCAGGAGCGGGTGCCGACGTAGGCCTGGCCGCTCACGGTCCGCGCGTCGCCTCCTGGCTGTCGGGTGGGCAGGGGGAGGCAGATGGGTGCCCAGTTCGCGGGGGGCGACAACCGGAAACCTCGGAAGAGCGGAGCGCTTGGAAGGGAAGCAGAGGGATGGGGAACAGGGCGCGCAGGAGTGAAAGGGCTTGGGATTGACCTTCGGGGGTAGACGAGGAAAAGGCTTTGAGGCGCGGAAACGTCCCTCCACCAGGCATCTCTCCCCCCCCAAACACTCGACAGGCTACGCACCCTGCTTTCCACTTCAAGGATGAGAAACTGAGTCACAAAGAGGTGAAATGGCTAGGCAAAGGTCACGCTACAGTCTGTGCCCTTCGGCTCAGGCTCCTTGGCAGATCAAACCCACGGAAAGGGACTTCACAGGGAAGCGGCCGGGTGCCAGGAGGTGGGGCAGTGCGCAGGGGAGAACCGGGTTCCCGGAAAGCGTGCGCCGACCCCGCCGCGGCGGTCGGTGCCCACCCGGGAGGGAGAGGCAAGAGGCGGGCGGTCGTGCCTTTCGCTTCCCGCTGCCTCCCCACCCCCGCTCCCCGGCGTGTATGATCAGTAATTTTCCAGCCGGGAAATGTTTTCGCCCTCATCTCTGCAGTCATTTTTTTTTTTTTTAAACGTGAGCGTGGTGTTGAGTATCACTAAACGTAGGCTCGCGAGCTGTTTACTTTGGACCGAGGCGCGCGGGGCCGGCTCCGCCCAGCGCTCCGCAGAGCCCCCTCTCGCCAGCCAACAGTGCGCTCCCCGCCCGGGTGCCCCCCAGCTCTCGGGAGGAGAGGCGGCTGCAGAGGGGGCTGGGGGGGGGGGGAAGGGATCGACACCTGCGCCCCGGGGCCGCCAGTACGCTTACCACCCCCCACCGTCACCCCCGCGGAGCTCCAGTGGCCTCATACTTCTTTGTCGTTGTCACCTGTTTGAATCGCGCGACTCTGGTAGCTATTAGGTTTCCTAGGCATATTTGTTATCCCTGATTTTTCCACTCCTTGCCGACCACAGAAGCATGCGTGGAATGCAGCGCGCCCTGAATGAATCGACTGGTCCCTCTCGGTCAATGCCAGGACTCTCTCGTCGCCAGAGCCCAGAGCGCCTTTGGAGATGACTTCCATTCTCTGATTGACCTTTGGCCAAGGGCTGCGGGGATTCGGATGGGACTCCCCCCTCCCCCGCGAGACCGGTCCTCTCCGAGGGGTTCAACCCCGCCCTGGAGGGCACGGCCAGTGACGATACTACTTTTACACTTTTCAAACCGGTGAATTAAGGACAGAACATACCTGCTACCGTTCACTGGGGTGACAACGCTTGGAAACGTAATTTGCTCTTCCCATTAAAGCCGAGATTCCTAAACCCTGGTGAAGGTGGGGTGAATCTTTGGCCACCATCCACTTTAGGATGTTAAGGAGCTGGGATTTCTTACCAGATTCTTTCTGCTTTACTTTTATTTATCTAAGACAATAGCCCATTACCCTGCATAAATAGATAGATAGATAGATAAAGAAATAGATAAATGAATTAATTTTGAAAACCCTTATGGTAACCACCATAATGAAAAAACAATATTGCCCAGATGTGTTGGAGAGCTGCTATTATTATGTCATATTATTGAGACAAGATTCTGAAACTCCTTCCCCCAGATACAGGAAGGAAAAAGGAGAATGTGGAAATAATGGTCTTACCCACTTTCCTGCAGCCCTTGACCTTTGAGCCCTAGTGAGCTATGTGAAGATCATCAAAATAATAAGGTTGAAACAGAAAAAAAAAATTCTGAAACTCATCTGAAAAGGTTGAATTTGTTCTCCCCAAGCAGCTCTCTGGGGGCTAGAAGGCAGCATCTCTTCATGGCGGACAATCATCTGGTTATTCATTTGATTGCATCATAAAGGGAAATGTCTAGATTCATCCCGATTTCTAAAAGAGGAAAGGAACTTTAAGTTCCTTTCAAGGCAGGTGCCTGCTGTGACAACAGGGTTATGACCCTCCTTCTCCTCCTCGGAACAGGTAGGGCGAGAAGAGTTAAAATCCCTGCCCTATATAATTTATAAACATGAGGCTGAGTAAACCTTTGATGACTAAATTGCACTCTAAAATAATAATAATAGAAGACACCCTTTAAAGAAGAATTAAATACTGGTGACTTTATTTCAGCAAACTGATATTACAAGTTTTGTGGTATAGAAGTTAATTATTAATGTCTTTGGAGTTATAAAATAATTTTTTTTTTCCAGTACAAACTACATTAGTTGGCAGAAGAGGTGTTGGAAGCTCTTGGTGCTAGGGGATTAATATGGAGCCACGGAGGGTGTGGTTGGACGAAGAGACGCTATGCGTTTCCAGTGAGGAACTCTGCACCGGTACCTTGGTATGGACTTGGGATTCAAGAGCCTCCCTGCTCCATCCGGGGAGCTGTGTCTAACTGCTGCACGACTCAGCGATAGCTGCTTTTTAACCATGCCGCAAACACAGATGATTTTTAACTTTTTTTTTTTAATTTGAAAAGGTGGAGAGACACATGCAGGAAACCCTCTCAGCTGTTGGTTCATTACCCAAATGCCCCGAAGAGCCAGGGTTGGACCAGACCGATAGTAAGATCCCAGAACATCATCTGGATCCCCCATGAGATTGGCAAGGACCCAAGAACTTGAACCATCCCCTGGTATGCATTAGCAGGAAGTTGAGATTGGGAGCAAGAACCGGGTTCTAACCCAGGCTCTGCAGAAGGGGATGTTGTTTCCGAGTGCTGTCTTAAGTGTTGCACCACACGCCTGCCCCGTGAGATGATTTCAGATACCCAAATTGCTTCAAAATGAAATCACTGCTAATAAGTAACTGTGCCAGGGACTTGGGTCTTTCGCAAGGTAATCAATGTTTCTTGGCGCCCATTCTCACCTCCGCGTTAACCCCAGCCTCTTCGTAGCTTTCGCCTGGTGTAGTATAGGTCAAGGAGGTAAACTTGATCACTGGGTTTCCTAAGTGGGTTTGGCTACTTCCTGGGTGGGCAAGTTCCTGATCTTCTGTTACCTGTTTCTTCATGGAAAATGAGATATTAGTATCACTTCTTAGTGTGAGGAGGGTTGAGTTAGGTTGCTGAAGCGTTTAGCCCACATTCACAGCAGCAATTGCAGCAGTAGCCTCCACACTTTGAGTCCCCAACCCCATGGTCCCACTGGAGTGGTCCTGCATAATGGAACCCATTTGCCCTGTGGTCACCACAGTGCTGCTTTTTAACCCCTTTGCCAAGGGCAGCCAGACCATGCCTACTTCCTTTGATGGACCCAATGCTTCCTTTTCTGGGCTTAACCAAAATTTCCAGAACCATTCTAGAGATTGACCCATCCTCTCTCTTAGCTAGATCGCCTCACAACTCCTCAAATACGTGATGTGTACTTGCTGCAGCTGATTTTCTTGTCTAAAATGACCTTTCCCTAGAGGGCCTTCACCATGCCTACCATTCCCAGAGCCCCCCTTTTCCGGGACCTCAGAGTCGAGCCCTTGGAGCTTAGTCCTCTTGCTCTGAGCTCAAGCCATACCTTGCCTCTCTGTTCTGCCATTTGTCCCATGCACTTTATCTTGTGACTTGTTGGTAGCTGCTGTTCGTTTGTGGCATCTCCAGGGCAATTTTCTGATGACAATTTATGGCAGAATAAATGAAGTGAGCAAAACTGAGTTGCAAAACGACTGTGTGGTTCATAGAGTAGGGTCAGGGGACCCAGTTCTTACCTTGTTGGTAACATTTTCCATGACGAAGCAGTCACTTTTGTGGTTCCTGATTATTTAGCCCCCCCCCCCTTCCTGGATCATCTCTCTCTCCCTCTCTCTCATTTGTCTCATTTGTTTATTTGAAGCAGTTACAGAAGAGACAGAGAAACAGAGAGATCTTCCATCTGCTAGTTGACTTCCCAGATGCTGCAATGGCCTGGTCCAGGCCAGGCTGCCGCCTGGAATCAGGAACCAGGAATCAGGAACTTCATCTATGTTGCTCATGTGGGTAGCAGGAGCCTGAACACTTGGATCGTCTTCAACTGCTTTCCAAGACCGTGCTCAAGGAGCTGTATCAGGAATGGAGCAGCCAGAACATGAGCCGGCACCCTGTGGGATGCTGGTGCCACAGGCAGAGGTTTTACCAAAAAGCCACAAAGTCAGCCCCTTTGCTTTTTCTGATAAGTTTCTATGAAGACCAAAAATTCTTCCTTAGTCTTCTCAGAGCAGTTGGACAAAGTGAAAGAACAGCTCTGTCCAAGGCATTGTAATAAAACAAACTTGAAAACACAAACAAAAATAACCATAACCAAAACCAAAACCAAATGGAGAGTCGACTCTCTTCTGCAGCCAAGTTCATTGCCTTTCAAGACCCAAACGTTGGGTATTGAAGTTTTTAGAGCAGAAAATGAATCACAGACATTTAAAAATC